GAGAGAGAGAGAGAGAGAGAGAGAGAGAGAGAGAGAGAAAACACATGGCCAGCAAGCCACTCCCACAAAGGAGGCCACACCCACAGAGTAGGTTCAAATTTTTTTTGAAACCCATCACTGCCATATATATATATACATACACATATACATACATACATACATACATACATACATACATACATACATACATACATACATATATAAATAAAACGAAACATCTGCATAAAAACAACCAAGCACAGAGAGCCCCAAGGACCCCTCAATTCAACCCATGAGCTACAAATATTCTCCTTTAACAAAGCATTTTGGCATAGTGTTTTATGCATGACAAATCTTCAGGGGTACATTGCATGCTGAATAAATTTGGAGATATATTCCAAAAATGAGATAGATAAGTGAAAACTCTTCCACAGTAATGTCTGGAATATTATTAAATCAATGCATTTGAAATACTGTATATTCTTATGTTACATTATACTGTTCTGAAACTGGAAAGATTAGAAATATCGCTGGGCTAATGGTCCTATGAATATGCATTTAAAGCATACTATTTCACAGGGTATTTATTTCATTTTGGTTAAAGAATTAAAACAGTATCATTATATTGCATTTACAGCAATGAATTTTATTTTGGTTGTTTCCAGAAACGTTATTTCAAAAGAATTCCTTGACTGCTGATGGGGAAATGACATCTTATCATTTTGTCAGTCAGATGATAAATCTTCCAACAAGACTTTCTTAGCTAGCAGTTTTTTCTTCTTTTTAATCTCAGTTTCAATTTTAAAATATCTGATGATGAAACTTTCTGATTTTTCTATAGCTTTAGCAGCCCATCTCACCAAATCTGTATATGAAATTTATATATATGATATATTACATATTTAATACTTTCTATAATGCCCCTCATGCAAATCCATTCAAACTGGATCAAAATTCATTTTGCTCCAATGTAAATTTGAAAACTTTGATAAAAATTGGTTGATAACAAAAATTAATACATATTCTCAAAAATCTAAGATTTTTTATAATACTGCAACCATGTATTAAATAATCCCATTTTCTTCATAAATAATTACTAATAAAGTTGATAAAGAGATCAACTGCTAGAGGCAATAGAAAACTAAATGGGGAATATCAGGGTGGTAAATCAATGTTCAAAACTAATCAGTGATAAACTTTAAATATATTTGAATAGAAAATTAAAACTAACAAGAACTAGTATCAGTAAAATAAAGGGAAAAAAAGAAAAATGACAAAGACAAAAACAAAAACAAAAAAAAAGAAAGAAAGAAAAGAAAGAAGTACCTTCTGATTTTCTTTGCAGCAAGTATTAGATACAATTCGTAAGTGGTATGCAGCCGGTTCTTACCGGTTTGGGCAAACCGGTAGTAGCTGCTGCTGGAGGCTCTGCCCACCCACCCCGACATAAGGTGTGACCTTCTGCACATGCACAGAAGGCAGTGCACATGTGCAGAAGGTGAGTGTGCTCACATTTGTGAACCAGTAGCGAAGGTAAGTGAATCCCACCATTGGTAGAATTACAAAATTAACTTTTACTTACCAAAAAAGCTGTTTTTTTTAATTAACTATTTTTGCTAAACATCAACAACATAAAAAATATGATCATTTTTTTTCTATTCACGCAAAAAGGTCTAAAAGGGGTGTCGAGTCAGCTATAAGCATTCTTTAATCAAGGAAGAGAGGTTGGACATATCTGCAAATTCCATCATTTTTCACCTGGCATTATCCCATTGTGGGTAGAGTTTTTCCACTTTTGATCATATAATAACCACACTGCAGAGTGACTAACTGTTTTTGCAAACATAGAGCTTTTTTCCTGTATTACTCAGTGAAAATAATTCGAAGTCTCATTACTTTAAAAATCCTTAAAAAAAGATAATTTTTTAAATCTTTTCTATTAATACAGGAAAAAAATGTATATTTACAAAATGGGCAAGCTATCCAAATTGTAATAGCCTTTTATAAAAAGGTTAAAGTAACATGAATTTATACAAAAGATGTAAAGAACCAATGCACTCCAAACCATCTTATCCCTTTCATCTGTTAACAGTGGAACAAAGTTTCTACTTTGAGAAAACTTAGCTCATTATTTTTTGAGACTTTGCTACTTCCCTTTTATCTTCCTTTTTCAAATATTTTATACTGAAAAAAACCCTTGTGTAGCAAGTAACAAAAGTTATTGGCATTAAAAATGTTAAGAATTATTGCTACTTTCTTAAATGTACCCCTCTATGGCAAATAATGGAACAGAAATGTTTAAAATGGAAGGCGATTTGCCCTAGATGAACTGAACTACTACTAGAATGAAGCCATAACAATTAATTAGGTATAACTAATATTGCTTTGTTTTCTAAATGACAATCAACAATTTTTAAAATATGAAATTCTTTCTTGACATTAAATTTTAATCTGGAAATGCTTGTCAATTGCAATATCTGAATTACTCCAGAATAATAGAATAATGGAGTTGGAAGGGGCTTTGGAGGTCTTCTAATCCAACTCCCTTTCCTTGCACTCTCTTTTACAGACTGTCCTTAACTTACAACCATTCATTTAGAGACCATTCATACTTACAACAGCACTGAAAAAGTGACTTATGACTGGTCTTTACATTTATAACCATGGCAGCATTCCCACAGTCACATGATCAAAATTTGGTTGCTTGGCCACTGGCCTGCATTTACAGGAGTTGCAGTGTTCTGGGGTCATGGAATCCACATTTGCAACCTTCCCAGCTAGCTTCTTCCAAGCAAAGATAATGAGATAATTGTCAGATAATACATCATTAGGTAAGGAAAGCCTTATTAGAGATGGATGTGCCATTGAGAAACAGCTGGTCATCCTAAGCCCAATGACCAAGCATTGGGAGCAAGTACCAAGAGCTGGAACATGATACCAGTACAAGACATTTGAACTGCATTACCTAAGAATGGTCCATCCTCCCAAGTCCCACCACATTTCCATTTACACATCATGATATTCCTGACTGACTGATTCTCTTCCTAACAAATACATAAGCTCTCCTGATTCCAGCCATATCTCTCCTGGCCCAAGGTCCCATCTACAATCTTAAAGGTACTTTTTCAAGACGCAACTTGACTTTCTTGTTTTTCTTTGAAGATGCTTTCAAGAAACTTCTTCAGCTCTTCAGAATCCTGTTGCCCCTCCAAAAAAACACACCACTTTTTGGACAACTATGACCTGTTTGGCTGAGAATCTCCATAGTCATTCATCTACACAATTCTCACCCTCTCCCAAAATATTAGTTGACTGGACAACTGGATGCTTCTGTAGCATCCTACTTCCTAAAAAAAATGTCCCATATATAACCATAAAGACCAAAGGTCAGGAGGGAAGCTCAGGCCATAGAAAGAATTGCTTTGTTGCATGCAAAGTCCAATTCCTATGGAAGGTTTATAAGCTTACTCTTTAAACAATGAAATCAGGCTACTCTTGCAGCAAGACACAAATTAAGACATTATTTCTTCAAATTTCAATTTCTAAATTTTAGAAGAATTTAATTGTTAAATGCAAGAAAATAGCTAAAAGGAACCATATGGTAAGCAGATGTGATGCAAACCAATTCAACTGAAGCCAGACTTCTTCGGCCAGGACAATTCCTCTGCGGATCCTGTTGGAAAAGGATCTGCCAATGACAGCACATCATGCCAGATTGTGTGGGTGTCTCGTGAAAGGGTAAGAGTCCACTGGGGACTGCAATGAAGCGAACAGCAGTATTTCAGTGTGGATACTAGATTAGTAGAATGAAAAACTGCTGCTTTTAGCATAAAGGCCTATCAATAACCACAGGAAAAATGACTGAATTTTAAAAGTTCCTTCACATTAGAGCTGTGTTTAAGCTATGTAGACTTTAACACCCAGAATTCTCCAGTGAGCATGCCAGCTGGAGAATTCTGGGAGTTTAAAGTTTCAAGGTTGAGAAACAATGTATTAGGGAAAGAGGAAAAATTACTGAGAATTCCAAGTACAGTAGTTACAACCCATTTCCCGAATTCTGGCGAGTGCATGCACATATGCATGTGTCCGTTCTCTCTCTCCCTCTCTCTCTCCCTCCCTCCCTCCCATTTTCTCTCTCTCTCTCTCACACAACTGCATTTTGGCAACTGGCTCACCTTTATAGCCTTTTACAATGTTCTATGATTATGTGACACAATTTACAATGTTTTTTTTTACCATTTCCTGGTAAATGGCCCAGCAAAATACCCCCATGGAAATACAGTACATTGATCTGTGGCATTTGCTTCATGATTGACACAAAAAATGTTGTAAAATCAGGTCCAGTCACCTTGATGCTTTGACTTACGATTTTTATGACTTATGATGGAAGTTATGAGCTCCATTAGACAAAAAATTTATGTGAGATAATTACAATTGCTGTAAATTTATCTTTGATGGTAGCAACATGATATATTTCTGATATCAAGAGGATGAAATATAAGCTGTAAGATACTGTCAGTTACATAGATACAGGGTTTTTTCAGTATTGTGTTGTACGGAACACAATTACAAAGGGCTGCTGAATAAATAAAAAACTTGTTTTCGAGTTTGTAAAGGTAACAGGGGTTATAGGAAAGATTCCTACCCCATCACCGTCTCCTTCCTAGAGCAAATTTGTGTCTTACCATATATGAGAAATGTTTTAGCCAGACTTTACTTATAAAACAAGTATTTCCAGTATATTGTAAAGATAAATGTAATAACATGAATGTCAGAACCAGATATAGCTGAAGTCTTTCAGTTTCAATATGACTAGCAATGAGTGAACATGACCAGCAATCATGATCATGACTAGCAGTTCAAAGAAAAAGGTAGTTAAAATGTAATTTTGTTTCAAATCTCTTAAATTTTATGAACATTATCACAACTCCCAATACCTCAAATGGCTATTAAAGAAGTACAGCAGTCACATAAGTATATGAAAGTCTGTTAAATATTTGCTCTGAATGGAGTCAGAGCCTTGGGAAACCACGTTTCCTAGAGATTTAATATAGTTACAGCAGCTAGTTCAATCATTGGATGAGTTTCCTAAATCAGAAAAGAATTTTGGAATGATAAATTTCACTGTTTTTAAGGAGCACCAGTATAAGTTTCTATACATCATAAGGCTGAGAAATTAAAGGCTGAGGATATTTCTAAAGGGCAGGTATTTTTAAACAAACCAACCCCCCTTCTATTTGTCATTCTTTTAATTTTTCTCAAATTATAGGCAGCTGTAGGAAAATCCAACTATTCTTGGCTAACACTTTGTTGCTGAAATGATCTTATGGAAATCACATTACGTTCTATTAAAATATCTCCATTATGTTTCCATTCACAGTAGTGAACATTATTATTATATGCTGAACTTTAGGTAAGCAATGCATAAATTCCAGATTAAGAATTTTTGTGGTAATTTGCTTATTCTCTCAGGTTCCAGAAAGACATACTTGCAAATTCTTCATGTAGTCTAATGCATTGTAATCTGTTTAACCCAAAACCTTGACTGTCATTTTACCACTCTGAATTCTATTCCCAGGAATTTTCAATACTATATAAATACTTCCAGAAAACATTCTTTTCCATAGAAACCACAATCTATATTCCAATTGGCAGTCAATTTGCATGATTCTTATTTCCTTTATGAAATCACAGACTGAAAAAAATTGGACAATGTATTTGTGTTTGTGTTGTTAATGCAAGTCTACAATTTTTAGAAGTTTACTATATATTCACCATAGCAACAGTTTTATTGCAGAGGCAGATTTTTAGGACTGCTATCAACATATATCTAAAAAATCCTCTCTCTTGAATTTCCAGAGAGATCTCTGGAATAGTTTTTTAGCACAAATTCTGTTTAACAACCCCTCAACACTGAAATTTATTCTGAAGATGGACATTTTCCTGTTTCCAGTTCAGTGATCAGCCTCTTCCTACGACAATTGAATACAGTGTTATAAAACCTATATTTCCATCTACAGAGGTATCACATGAAGATTTATCTATGCTTTTATTAATTGCTTACTGCTAAATGTGTTATGAAAATTAAAGATTAATTGAACTGGTGAGTTCTTGATTTAACTGCAGGAAGAAAACCAAGGTCATTTTTGCACTGGAGAACCCTTAATCCCTGTGATGAGACAGGAACACCTGGAAAATGTCTGGTAACATGGTTCCATGTTGGTTTAAGGTTCAGATTCAGATTCAGATTTAGTTTATTTGTATGCCGCCCTTCTCCAGGAGGGACTCAGGGCGGCGAACAACTCAAAAGGGGAAAAAGGGGATACAAACACAATACACGTAATTAAAATACACAAGAATCATACAGCCATACAAGTCGAGAGGGGAGGGGAACTCATCAACCCCAGGCCTGCCGGCACAGCCAGGTTTTGNCTGAAAATGTGATGGGCAAATCAGATGCAGAGTGTTTGCTTTTTAAGGGTCTATTTTATAATTGCAAAAGAAAAGAAGACAAGTAGTGCCACCTTCTGGCCAAATCAAGCTAATATGAAAAGAGGATCCATAGAATTTTATAAATACAAGTTAGTACTTGTTTAGTGGTCATTTAAAGTTACAGGCGCACTGGAAAAACTGACTTATGACCGTTTTTCACACTTATGACTCTTGCAGCATTCCCATGGTCACATGATCAAAATTCAGATGCTTGGCAATTGGCATGAATTTATTAAGGTTGCCCATATGCATAGAAAGTACTCCTTGAATTAAGCTTAAGTTCTGGTGATGCATCAATTTGGTTTTCTTTGCAATATTAGGGAAGGGATTTATCATTTCTGGAAGGCTTTCTTTCAAATTCACACTCTAGCCATCATCCCTGGAACCTCCAGGAAAGTCAGATTCATGCCGGTTCTTAGCTACAGAAGCTCACTGGATATCCTTGGGCACTCACTATCTCTCAGCCCAAATGGAGAGTTATCAATGTGGGGAAAACTAGAGAAGATCTACATTCAGTGGTGGGATTCATGATTCATGATGAATCCCACCACTAATGATCGGGTGAGTGGGCGTGGCCATGGCCAGGGGGGGTGACAGGCAGCACTCAGCCTTCTGCACCCCCCTGGGAACAAAAATGGGTTTTGGCTCCCTGTACTACCTGGGAGCCAAAATGGGACACATGGGGACTCCTGGAAGGAGCAAGGCAGGAAGGGGCAGGGCCAGCCAGAAATTTAACAACCAGTTTGCCTGAATCGGCCCGAACAAACTGAATCTCACCAGTGCCACATTGTCTTGAACTCCTGGGAAACATAGAAAATCTAACAAATATTTTTTTACTAATCTATCTAGCATACAATAAGCAACTCCAATCTGATAATAATAATTGTATAGCTTTCATAAAATGACTGGTCTATATGCCAAATAAATAGATTTCCCTAAATTAAATTAATAGAATGATCAAGCAGAGTAGCAACTTTTATTCTGAGCCATAAAAACAACTAGTGACATACTATCAAGAGAGTTACCTGGGTTTTTGTAGATGCTGAGTACATCCTTGAAATAATGAGGTAAAAATCTTTCTAATAAAAGCAGCACATCCTCCAATTCTTCCAGAATGCCCACAAGGAGGAAATTTTCATTCACATTCATTTTTGCTCTTTCGAGGGCCCATTCACCAGGCTCCCTTAAAAAAACAAAAAAACAATATTCTTCACATTTAAAATGACACAACCTGCTAGGATGTAAATATGAAACAACAGTAGTTAATTGTAGCTATAAAGGCTTCAGAGTCATATTTAGAATATTTTAAAGTACACTATATTGCGAAAAGTATTCGCTCACAACTGAGTCTGATTATGTGGATGGGTGAGCGAATACTTTTGGCAATATAGTGTATCTTGTAATTAACATTTTGAGATGCTGATATACACTATAGGCAATCTTCCATAACATATGTACTCCAAAAGATTTGTATTACAGTTTAGCTCTGATCATTGGACTATTATTCTCATTAGCCACACTGGTGACAGTTGTAGTCTAAAACATTGGGACTGTATATTGGAGAAGGGTGCCTACAAGACAGTAGTGAAATGAAAATTGTTTGCCACTGGTTCTCTGGGCATGGCTTGGTAGGGGTGGGGTCATGTGACTGAGTGGGCGTGGCCAACTTAAAAAAATTAAAGCATTTTTTACTACCTATTCACCTGAACCGGTAGTAAAAATGCTTTAAGAAGTGGGGGGGGGGGAAAGGTTCAGCTGTGCCATGTGATTGTGGGAACCTTTCCCCCCCAGTTTTTAAAGCATTTTTTTTTACTACCGGTTCAGGTGAATAGGTAGTAAAAAAAAAATCTTTAAAAAGTTGGGGGGGGGGAAGGTTCCCACGATCGCATAGCACAGCTGATTATCATGGAACCTTTTCCCCCCACTTTTTAAAGCATTTTTTTCCCTGCCGATTTGGGTGAATAGGCAGGGAAAAAAATGCTTTAAAAAGCTTCCTACGATTGCGTGGCTCAGTGCGATCAAGTGACCCACTTTTGCGACTCTCTAAAAAGCAAAGTCAACGGGGAAGCCAGATTCCCTTAACAACAATTTCACTAATTTAACAACTACAGTGATTCATTTAACTGTGGCAAGAAAGGTCGTAAAATGGGGCAAAGTCACTTAATAAATTTTTCACTTAGCAATAGACATTTTGGCCTCAATTGTGGTCTTAAGTCTAGGACTACCTGTACTGTACTGTATACATTCAGGTGACAACCAGAAATTCAGTGTCCTTCAGGTTATATTTGACTTTGGTTGGAATTTTGGTGCTGAATCTTTTAAATCTAACTCATCATAGATTCCCTGAACAATAAGAAAGACTATAAGAAGACAAAAGCTACAAGAAAAGGTAAGTTTGTAAATTACCTGCATTTTGGATGCTGTCCACAGAAATATGGAATAATATAAAATAACCTGGGATTGGAACATTCAGGATAATTCTCAAGAATACAAACATTAATATCCTAAAAGGGAGGGGAAAAAGAGAATGAAATGAAAGAAACAAAAAAACCCTTTAAAGTAAGTGGTTTGAATACAGTAATCCAAACAAATACTGCAACATATACACTAAAAGCATTTTGCATTTTTTGTTAAAATAGTTTGGAGCTCTCACACAGCTAATACCTCTAGATTGAGAGAAGCTTCTGCGTTGCACAACTGCATTTCAGGTTTTTTTAAAAGCGTATTTAAGCAATAATAACTGCACAAATATATAAAATAATACATGTATACATGTGCATGTGTGATACACTATATCAGGGGTGGGTTCCTCCCGGATCGCCCCGGTTTGCGCACACCGGTTGGTTGGTGAACCCGGAAGTAATTAACTTCCGGAAACGCCGGTACCACTCCTGGCCCCTGTCGCTGCAAAGCGCCCTTGCTGACAATGCAGCGTGACCCGCTCGGTATGTAGAAACAGCAAAAGAAGGGACAGGAGAGGAGTTCCAAGCGGGGCTTTTCAAACAGCCGAACTCCTCTCCTATCCCTTTCTTTTGCTCTTTGAACAAGCCATGCGGGTTGCGCTCCCTTTTCTTTCATAGCCAGCTTGTTTCCAATTGGGGGAGGGAGGAAGAAATCGATTTTTCCACCCCTCTCCATGGATCCCCACCCCAATTGGAAATGAGCTGGCTATGAAAGACAAGGGAGTGCGACCCGCACTGCATGTACAGACAGCAAAAGAAGGAAAAGGAGAGGAGTTCCAAGCGGGGCTTTTCAAACAGCCTCCTCTCCTGTCCCTTCTTTTGCTATTTGAAAAAGCCGTGCTGGTTGCACCAGCATAGGCGCGCGCCTATGTTTTCCAAGGCATGGAGCGATTTCGGAGCCCATCCGTCACTCCCGTGGAAAACATAAGCATGCAAGCACAGCCTGCACAATTACAGCCCCGGAGAGAGGAGGCTCTCGGAAGGAAGCCAGAGGCAGTGGGGCAGCCGGGACAAGGGAGTGCAACCTGCATGGCTTGTTCAAATAGCAAAAGAAGGGACAGGAGAGGAGGCTGTTTGAAAAGCCCCACTTGGAACTCCTCTCCTTTTCCTTCTTTTGCTGTCTGTACATGCAGTGCGGGTTGCACTCCCTTGTCTTTCATAGCCAGCTCATTTCCAATTGGGGTGGGGATCCATGGAGAGGGACGGAAAAAAATGATTTCTTCCCCCCTCCCCCAATTGGAAACAAAGTGGCTGTGAAAGAAAAGGGAGCGCAACCCGCACAGCTTGTTCAAACAGCAAAAGAAAGGGACAAGAGTTCAGCTGTTTGAAAAGCCCCGCTTGGAACTCCTCTCCTGTTCCTTCTTTTGCTGTCTGTACATGCAGTGCGGGTCGCACTCCCTTGTCCTTCATAGCCAGCTCGATTCCAATTGGGGAGGGGAGGAGAAATCAATTTTTTCCGTCCCTCTCCATGGATGCCCACCCCAATTGGAAACGAGCTGGCTATGAAAGAGAATGGAGTGCGACCCGCACTGCATGTACAGACAGCAAAAGAAGGAAAAGGAGAGGAGTTCCAAGTGGGGCTTTTCAAACAGCCTCCTCTCCTGTCCCTTCTTTTGCTATTTGAACAAGCCATGCGGGTTGTGCTCCCTTTCATAGCCAGCTCGTTTCCAATTGGGGTGGGGATCCATGGAGAGGGATGGAAAATATCGATTTCTTCCCCCCTCCCCCAATTGGAAACAAGGTGGCTGTGAAAGAAAAGGGAGCGCAACCCGCACGGCTTGTTCAAATAGCAAAAGAAGGGACAGGAGAGGAGGCTGTTTGAAAAGCCCCACTTGGAACTCCTCTCCTTTTCCTTCTTTTGC